TTATTTTTTATCCATATATTTTATAGAACTAACAAATAAATTATTTTTATTTATTTAAAATCGAAACCAATAATATATCTCCAAAACTTTAGCAGAACAATCACGCAGACAAGTTAACCGATCTCCAATCAATGTATTTTGCCTCAAAATATCTCCTGGTACGCGTGAAGGACATGTCTTTTGAACCTTTAAATTTACCCTCATGTTTTACAATCATAATCGTGTGTCGACATGTGTCCTCCCTATTTTTGAACCCGTCGTTGAGCATGTTTGTGGAAGAAAGGGAACTTGACTGCCTACATAAATTTATTAAATATTCTTTTTCCTTTTTCCAAGTTTCTGGTGAAATATTTGAACAATGCTTGGACTATAGAAATTTTTTACAGGGGGTCCACAGACAATACACATGGTGAGACCCGTGCAAATTTTTTTTTTAATACATGTGGGGCCCGTCCCAATGTGAGGTGCATGTAAGGCCCATGTGAAACTATCCCTGTACACAGGGAATTATTCGAAAGATTTTATTAATTTCACAGCACACAACCAGCTGAGGAACCGACCACGTGATCTGCCTAATTTAGAGTTCTGTGCTTCCCATGTAACGGATTAGTGGAACTGAAAGATTCATTGAACCTTATTCATTTATATAATTTAATTTCGATCAAAGCTACATGGGCACTAAATCCAGTTTGGAATTGCTTTTACGTTCTTGGTCTTAAAAAAAGGGTGAACCGCATCCTTAGCTGTCCCTACCTGCCCTACCCTGGGTCTTGGTAAAGAAAGTAAATCCCAGGTTATGTCTTCAAGAGTATAGAGTGGAAGGCTGCTTGTACACTTGCACTTACCCAAGGGCCAAATCCATATTTCAGGATTCGAACCCTTGACGCGGCAGCCTGAAACAAAACTGGAGTTTTTCCACCTTCCCCTTTTACCACTTGGAAATGTGCCATGGGGGCGCTTTTACGTTCTTGGTCTTGCAATCACTAAAGTTGGACACCGAAGATTAGTTGAGAATGATATTATGTTCATATTTATGAGCAACTCGTCAGAGTTGAACATATATTATACGTTATTCTAAAATATTTTATAAGTGTTGTAAAAGTAATATTTAATATCAATTTGTTGAGAATATTTGATGAGTTTTAAACGAACTAATGAAAATAATATTTATGACAGAAATTTAAGAGAAGAAAATTGTACTCTTGAAACTCAAATTATATGATTCAAATTTTTTGTGATAATAAAATACTACAAATGAGCAACTTTTTTATACTACATTTGGTACATAAGAATTAATTGTTAATACATGAATTTAAACACACATTAAAAATTTTAGATACATGAACAAAAATAAATTCATTTATAATAACTCTATATTCATATAAATCAAGATTCATTGAGTCTAGATAAAAATGGACGTTAATTAATTGAGAATTAATAATATGAAATTCATATATGACAAGAATTTTGTAGTATTTATTACGTATTTAAAAACAAAAAATAAGATATTATTAAAATAATTAAATTGTAGTAAGGTTAAAATCATCCAAAAATATTCTCGCTCGGTACGATATTTAATAATACTAGTTAGAGTGAACTGTTGTACGTTATTTTAAAATATTTTATAAGTGTTGTGAATGTAATATTGGATCATTCATTTACCATTTTGATCAAATATAAGAGAAATGCAAGTCCATGAAAATATATATTAATTATTATACATGTATAAATAGTTAAATGCATACTTGAATGTGAGAATTAGAATTATAACTAAATGAATAAATGAAGATGAATGGCAAATACGATACATGAATTAATGTGAATGTTAATTAATTTAGAATTAATACCAAAAAATATATATCTCACAATAAAAGCTAAATCAATTAAATAAATATAATATAATTTCCAATTAAGTGAAAATGATGCTTGGACATGAATAATAAACAGTATCATTGATTTTAGTTAATATTAATTAAATGGATGTTAATATTAATATGAATTAATTGAGAATTAATAAGAGACCTGAATGTGAATGTGAAAGTGAAATTCTAATTAATATTAAGCCTCCGTTTGGCACCCATTAATTTCTC